ACCTGGGGTGTGGACTATGCCTATTGCTAGACTGCATCAGGGACAGCAAAGCATACACGGAGTAAAAATGCAGTGCTTCTATTCCCTGGGGCTAGTTGAGGCAAGGAGCTGACCCCAGGCAGGCACATACAAGGCTTTCTCCCAACCCTCTGTATCCCTGAGAAGCATCACACAAGCTTTGAAATGTGCAAAATGAGACAGAGAAAAAAATCATACCTTTAGAAAACATGACCTATGACAAAAGCTTGACAAAATGGGAAAGGCTTAATCTAGACAAAAGACAGCTCAGGGGAGGGCACAAAAAGTCTTCAAATATGTAAAAGATTCTTGTAAAGAGGACACTGGTCAGCTGATTAATTGTGGTCCAAGCCTCCGTGAACATGGAGGGCAGGTGATTTCCAACAAGGCAAACTGAACTCTGATATTAACAGAAAACTTTTTAATTGTAAAGGTAGTTAGCACCAGAATAGAGTGTGTGAGGATGTTGTGAAATGCCCATCATTGGAGCTTTATAACGACAAGGTACGTGTTTGTCTATCAGAAATGGTCTAGATATACTTATTCCTGCTTCAGCATAGTAGAAAAGGCTACGTTACCTCCTGAAGGCCCTTCCAACTCTACATTTCTGCAATCTGCTTTCCTGTAGCACTGCTTACTCTTCTAGAAACATTGTAAAGAGTGCTTTGACAATTAAATTCTTGACATACTCAAATCTGCCCTATAATAACTACAAAACCTATACACCTTGCCCAGCATGCTAGTGCTGAGTTTAGAGCAGCGGTTATCAGCGAGTTATCTTAAGTGCCTATACACAAATGCAAGAAGCCTGGGAAACAAGCAGGGAGAACTGGGTCAGTCAAGGAATTATGATGTGACTGGAATAACAGAGACCTGGTGGGATAACTCACATGACTGGAGTACTGTCATGGATGGATATAAACTGTTCAGGAAGGACAGGCAAGGCAGAAAAGGTGGGGGAGTTGCATTGTATGTAAGAGAGCAGTATGACTGCTCAGAGCTCCGGTATGAAACTGCAGAAAAATCTGAGTGGCTCTGGATTAAGTTTAGCAGGGTGAGCAACAAGGATAATGTCATAGTGGGAGTCTCCTATAGACCACCAGACCAGGGGGATGAGGTGGACGAGGCTTTCTTCGGGCAACTAACATAAAATTACTAGATCACAGGCCCTGGTTCTCATGGGGGACTTTAATCATCCTGATATCTGCTGGGAGAGCAATACAGCGGTGCACAGACAATCCAGGAAGTTTTTGGAAAGTATAGGGGACAATTTCCTGGTGCAAGTGCTGGAGGAACCAACTAGGGGCAGAGCTCTCCTTGACCTGCTGCTCACAAACAGGGAAGAATTAGTAAGGGAAGTGAAAGTGGACGGGAACCTGGGAGGCAGTGACCATGAGATGGTCGAGTTCAGGATCCTGACACAAGGAAGAAAGGAGAGCAGCAGAATACGGAGCTTGGACTTCAGAAAAGCAGACTGACTCCCTCAGGGAACTGATGGGCAGGATCCCCTGGGAGACCAGGGAGAATAACATGAGGGGGAAAGGAGTCCAGGAGAGCTGGCTGTATTTTAAAGAATCCTTACTGAGGTTGCAGGAACAAACCATCCCGATCTGTAGAAAGAATAATAAATATGGCAGGCGACCAGTTTGGCTTAACGGTGAAATCCTTGCTGATCTTAAACACAAAAAAGTAGCTTACAAGAAGTGGAAGATTGGACAAATGACCAGGGAGGATATTGCTCAGGCGTGCAGGAGTGAATCAGGAAGGCCAAATCACACTTGGAGTTGCAGCTAGCAAGGGATGTTAAGAGTAACAAGAAGGGGTTCTACACATATGTTAGCAACAAGAAGGTGGTCAGGGAAAGTGTGGGCCCCTTACGGAATGGGGGAGGCAACCTAGTGACAGAGGATGTGGAAAAAGCTAATGTACTCAATGCTTTTTTTGCCTCTGTCTTCACGAACAAGGTCAGCTCACAGACTACTGCACTGAGAAACACAGTATGGGGAGGAGGTGACCAGCCCTCTCTGTAGAAAGAAGTGGTTCAGGAATATTTAGAAAAGCTGGACGAGCACAAGTCCATGGGGCCGGATGCGCTGCATCCAAGAGTGCTAAAGGAGTTGACGGATGTGATTGCAGAGCCATTGACCATTATCTTTGAAAACTTGTGGCAATCTTGGGAGGTCCCAGATGACTGGAAAAAGGCTAATGTAGTGCCCATCTTTAAAAAAGGGAAGGAGGAGGATCCGGGGAACTACAGGCTGGTCAGCCTCACCTCAGTCCCTGGAAAAATCATGGAGCAGGTCCTCAAGGAATCAATTCTGAAGCACTTCGAGGAGAGGAAAGTGATCAGGAACAGTCAGCATGGATTCATCAAGGGAAAGTCATGCCTGACTAACCTAATTGCCTTCTATGATGAAATAACTGGCTCTGCGGATGAGGGGAAAGCAGTGGACATGTTATTGCTTGACTTTAGCAACGCTTTTCATACAGTCTCCCACAGTATTCTTGACGGCAAGTTAAAGAATTATGGGTTGGATGAATGGACTATAAGGTGGATAGAAAGCTGACTGGATGTTGGGCTCAACAGGTAGTGATCAATGTCTCCATACCTAGTTGGAAGCCGGTATCAAGCGGAGTGCCCCAAGGGTCAGTCCTGGGGCCAGTTTTGTTCAATATCTTCATTAATGATCTGGAAGATGATGTGGATTGCACCCTCAGCAAGTTTGCGGAAGACACTAAACTGGGAGGAGTGGTAGACACGCTGGAAGGTAGTGATAGGATACAGAGGGACCTAGACAAATTAGAGGATTGGGCCAAAAGAAATCTGATGAGGTTCAACAAGGACAAGTGCAGAGTCCTGCTCTTAGGATGGAAGAACCCCGTGTAATGCTACAAACTAGGGACCAAGTGACCAAGCAGCAGTTCTGCAGAAAAGGACCTAGGGTTTACAATGGACAAGAAGCTGGATATGAGTCAACACTGTGCCCTTGTTGACAAGAAGGCTAACGGCATTTTGGGCCGTATAAGTAGGGGCATTGCCAGCAGATCAAGGGACGTGATCATTCCCCTCTATTCAGCATTAGTGAGGCCTCATCTGGAGTACTGTGTCCAATTTTGGGCCCTACACTACAAGAAGGATGTGGAAAAATTGGAAAGAGTCTAGCGGAGGACAACAAAAATGATTAGGGGGCTGGAGCACATGACTTAGGAGGAGAGGCCGAGAGAACTGGGATTGTTTAGTCTGCAAAAGAGAAGAATGAGGGGGGATTTGATAGCTGCTTTCAACTATCTGAAAGGGGGTTCCAAAGAGGATGAATCTAGACTGTTCTCAGTGGTACCAGATGACAGAACGAGGAGTAATGGTCTCAAGTTGCAGTAGGGGAGGTTTAGGTTGGATATTAGGAAAAACTTTTTCACTAGGAGGGTGGTGAAGCACTGGAATGGGTTACCTAGGGAGATGGTGGAATCTCCTCCTGAGGTCCTTTCCAACCCTGATATTCTATGAATACTACAGCAAGTACAGATGAGGAATTCAAAGCACTGATTGCTTACTCACAGCCAGTTATGCGGGAGGCAGAAAGCTGAGGACTGTTCACGTCTGCTTAGAAGGATGTTGAAGCTGCTCAGGGCCACCTCTGCCAGTTTCTCCTCCGGCTAGGGCTCCTGGACAATTCCTTCAAAGAGCAGATGCAAAATCCAAGCACGAGCCATCACTACACACAGCTCTATTGGAGCTTGAAATCTTGCCCTCATCCCTGCCTCCCTCTTCCATTCCATCTACATCGGCACCACTTCATGAACAGAGATAGAGTTAACACCAACAGTCACCACTCCACTCTCACACCCCCTGCCCTGCATGATTTTGGTCCCCTCCTACTTCTCCATGGCTCCTGAGACATAGGCTGTGTGGATGATGCACACCTAGCATGCCTGTCCGTGTCCTACAAAGGGAGACCAAACAAGAAAAGACAAGGACAGTGGGGGGGGGAGGGGTATTGGTCAACATACTGGACGGGAAGAGAGAGAGAGAGAGAGAGAAAATCACAAGCAAGCAACTGACCACCTGGAGTCATCCACCTAGATCTAACCTTCTGCTGCGGAGGACATATTGCTCTTGGCCAGAGAAATGATCAGCCCCTGAATTTGGGGACCTTGTCTCCCTCGTAACCACAGCTAGTCAAGAACATTTTCTTACAAACCCAGCCCCAGCTAAGGGTGTGTCCCTACATAGAGCCAGATGGGCCATGAACAGACCAATCACCAAATCAGACACTTATCTCACTGACAGTGGTGACTGTTGAGCTCCACGATGGACGGCTTTTGCATGGCATCAACAATGCTCACGATCGCTTTCCATCACATGAGGGCAGTGGATTCTCACGCGTGGTGACTTCTCCCTTGGTAGTAAACCCAGCACAAGGGGGGAAAACAAATCAGTTACCATCTCAGTCAGCAACGTCTCATAGGCTCTTCTTTTCACCTCTCCCGCATGGCGGGGCTCCGCCCTCAACCCTCTTCCCATTACACCTTTAGCATTACAACCAAAAAGCACCACTGGCAACGGCACCCGACAGTCACTCTGCACAGCAGACTCTGGCCTCTCCCCAGCCCTAATACCACAGAGCCCAGAAAACTAGAGTGGTACAGATGAGGAATAGAGTGCCATAATTGTTCACTCACAGCCAATCATGGAGAAGACAGAAAGCGGAGGACTGTTCATCTCTGCTTACAAGGATGTCCAGGCTGCTCAGATCCTCTTCTTCCAGCTTCTCCTCTGGCTGGGGCTCCTGGATGATCCCTCCACAAACACAGCATATAACCCAAGCAGGAGCCATCACTGCCCAAAGTTCTATTGGTGTATGAGATACTGCCTTCCCTCTCCCATCCGCTGTAGATCAGCCCCACTTGATGAACAGTGACAGTCAACTCCCACAGTCACCTCACCACTACCAATGGAGGATCTAGTATCCATCGTGATTCTCTTCCCCCTCCCAATGCCCCAGTGGGATGCAGACTCTCCAGACCAAGCCTGTGAGCATGCACCATTGCCCATGTTCTATGCAAGGAGTCAGTACAAGGAGAGAGAGAGAGAGACACGCATGTTGGCAAACATATGAGAACTCAGAGAGAGAGAGAGAGAGACGCACATAGGAAGAAGGACAAACTCAGCACCAGTAGTCACCTTTCTGGTTCCAGGCCTCTGCTCAGGTGAACATGCTCCTCCCTATCCTGGAAGATCAGCTGCTCCCAAGAGAGGGAAATTCTCCCTCTGCACCCAGAACAAGGAGGAAAACTTTTATTACAAACCGAGCCCCACCTAAAGGGAAGCAGCCATCTGTACTCAGCCTTTACCACACATTTATCTTAGAGGCCACCTGGGGTATTTCTCAGAATGCAGCCGCCCTGGAGCAACAGTGACATCCGGTGGCCAATCACGGCAATGCACAGAACATGTCCCCCATGCAGCAGCAGTGACGCTTGGTGGCCACTCGCGACAAAGCACAAAGCATTTTCCTCGTGTAGCAACATTGACACTATGTGGCCACTCCGGGTAACACAGAAACCATTTCCCTCCACAGCGCTGCAATGACACTCGGTGGCCAGATGAGGAAATGCACAGAGTGCATCTGCCCTGGAAAAGCAGTGACAGCCTGTAGTCAGCAGGGTCAGCACCAACCCCTTACTCATGG